GTGCATGTCTACTCTTAATGTTATTTTTACCTAATAAATATTTAACGGGTAAACATATACTCATTCATCATAAATGCAGAGAATGCCAACATTTTATGGTGCCATTCTCTGCATTTATGATGAAATTTAAAAATTTGTATAAAAAATGTACGTTTTTCGTCGCTGTGAGAATTTGAAATGTGCCGTTGTGCTAAACGGCTTATCTTCCTACCGCTGATAACCTCAACGTATTTTATTAACTTAGTTTTATATTACACTTTAAGCAGTTTTTGGCGTCATCTATGCTGATGTTATTATGCTACACGATAATAAATTTTCTAGCGTTATACTGTGAGATTAAAAAAAGATTTTTAAATCTTAATCTATATAAATTATTCACAATTGATACTGTCAATGACTGTCAATGAATAGCACGTGGTCAAAGAGTGACACATAGTAGATGTTACCGCAAAAAATTTCGAGCACGGGGAATCAGTTGGTGAATGTTAATGCATTCACGACATAGACATGATTATACTCTGTAATATCGTTAACCTGTTATATAGGGGCTCCATTTTTAAATCAACTCTTAGTACATTTTAATATGAACAAAATTTTCCACAATGAGCAATATGGATTCACTAAAGGCAGAGATCGACAACGGATGCGGGTGTCGCACTTGTCAAGCATATTTATAACGCCTGGGAAAGGTCACAAGATGCAATAGGTGTCTTTTGCGACCTTTCGAAGGCTTTCGACTGTGTAGACCACGAAACCCTCCTTCAAAAGTTAGATTATTATGGCATTCGTGACATCGCCCTCAATCTCATTGCCTCTTACCTTAATAATAGAATTCAAAAAGTATCTATAAATGATGTAAATTCCACAGGGTCCCCCATGAAAATGGGTGTCCCACAAGGATCAATCTTGGGTCCATTATTATTCTTAGTGTATATAAATGATCTCCCCTTTTATGCCAGTGAGTTATATATTTTACTGTTTGCTGACGACACATCGCTCATTTTTAAGGTTGACCGAAACGTGTCGGATTATGACGACGTGAATAGTGCACTTTCGCGTATCCTCCACTGGTTTACCGTTAATAATATGGTGTTAAATGCTAAAAAAACTAAATGCCTGCTTTTTACCCTTCCCAACGTAAGAAGGCGAAGTTTTAGCTTAACATTAAATAGCGTAACCCTTAATCCTGTTGAGTCCGCTGTATTCTTGGGAATTACAGTGGATTCAAAGCTCCAATGGAGTCCCCATCTATCATCTCTTGCGAACAGGTTAAGCTCCGCTGTTTTTGCAGTTAGGAAGGTTAGGCAGCTATCAGACATCGACACTGCCAGACTTGTTTATTTCAGTTATTTTCACAGCATCTTGTCTTACGGCATTTTGTTGTGGGGTAGTGCATCTGATATAAATTCTGTATTTATTCTTCAAAAAAGAGCTGTCCGAGCAATCTATAACATCGGAGCCCGGAATACACTCAGAGACCTTTTTAAAGAGATTAATATACTAACTGTTGCGTCTCAATATATTTATTGTAATATTTTGTATGTTAAAAATAATATTAATAGTTATCTAAAGAATAGTGACAGACATAAACTAAATACTAGAAATAAGGACAAACTAACTACGCCATTGTTTCGTTTACAAAAAGTAAACAGGTCGTTCATGGGGCAAGGTGTGCGCATGTATCCCACAGTCGATATTAAGTCTGCCACTTGATGAATTTAAACGAAAAATTAAAAGTAAACTTATGGCTAAAGCTTATTATTCTATTGCTGAATATCTTGACGACGCCAATGTGTGGGGTTAATACTGTTGATACTCACGTAGGCTAAAACAAGACTATTGTACATGTACTATTTATATTGTAAACTGACTTTTTTTAAAAAAAGAGCAACTGTTGAGTTTCTTGCCGGTTTCTTCTCAACAGAAACTGCTTTCCGAACCGGTGATAACTTACGAACGTGTTAATTTCTTGTAAAATTTTGACGTTTCATAAGAACGCGCAAGCGTCTATGTGAATAAAAATATTTTTTTTTTTAATAGTTTGTGTGTCAACGACAAATATCTCTTGAACACATGCAATAACATACAATTTCCAAATACGTTCCGGTGAGTTTCTTTACGTCTTTGGCAAGAGTTGGAGACTTGCAGATAACACTTGCAGGTGCGTTGGCAACCTTTGAATACAGTGGGCTCCGGTCACATGATTCACCTGCACCAGGCAAAACGCAAATGTATAATAACTCCACTTCACTCTGATCTTCTGTGAAGCCGTAGTTCTCCTCCGGACGACTCTAATCATTCGTGCAATAACAGAAGCTTTGTGTGGCTCTACCACAGTAAAGTACCTCCCATAGGAAAGAGTGAGTGGTGTTATATGCATATTAACAAAGTCAAAGCCGAAAGTCAAGTTATCTTTATTCAGTGTAGACTTGTTTAAGCTCGTATTGAAAGTCAGAAAACTGGCATCGGTTCACTAAATAAGATCTTTCCAGAGAAGAACCGGCAAGAAACCCTGATGTCTTTTGTTCTTTTTATGACAACAGTCTTCGCTAACTAAAGTAGGGCCACGCAACAGTCTTCGAGTAGGGCTATGCAACAGTCTTTGCTATCTGTGGTCAAGGGCGGATCCAGCTTTTGTGCCAGGGGGGGGGGGGGTCACGTAGTCGTGGTTTATTTTTATAATCATGATACGACTTCAAAAAGAAGGAGGTTATCAATTCGGATGTTTATATATATTTTTTGTATGTTCGGGCATAACTTCGCCATATATAGATGGATTTGCAAAATTCTTTTTTTGTTCGTAATAATTCGTTGCTTTTTATTATCATATATTATACGGGTTGGCTTATTTCAAGATGCCCAAATTCACACAGGAGATTCAGACTCGGTAGTATAATCGTTTATTGAAATAAAAACAGACTTATTTTTTCTTCAAAAAAATTGCCATTCTATTACCTAAAAAACAGAGCTTGTTGACAATGCCGTAGTCATTCATAAATGCGTCGAATACTTTTGAAACGAACTTGTGTGCGTGTTAGTTATGAATGGTCGCGCGTAAAATAAATGCCCATAAATCACATACTTTTTGAGATAAGTTCAAATGAATGATACGAGTGATTTTAAATATTTATCATGTTTATATAACTTTATTTATGTGTTTTATGTAGTTATTAAAAAATGGATACACTTAGAAAAGCCTCCCTGTATAGTACTTAAAAAAGTAGCTATTGGTAGGCTTACTTATTGTTGAAATTTCTTTTTATTTATCTCTTCGTTACCAGATTTTATGTAGTCGCATTGGTTATAATATTTTTATATATAAAAAATATTAACGTTAAAAGAAATACACAATTAATTTTTTTTCAAACAAACTAATTAAGTAAAAAAGAAATAAAATTTGTAACATCCTACACAACTACAACTGACTGATTCATACATTTATACATTGACCTTTACAAATGAACTTTACGTTACAGTTTTATACGTTAGGGTGTTCTAAAATTTGTTTTAGAGAATTTAATAACTCGGTAAATGTTGATGTTTAAAGAATATAAATTTTTAATACAATTTTAAAAAGTTATCCTCTATATAAGTGTGAATTTATTGTCGCGATTGTAAAAACACGCTGTATAATAAACCCAAATGAAAACTCCTAAAATAGCCGTACACAAACTAAAAATTTCATCGTCCACGTTAAAAAAATGATCATAAATAACAAAAAAAATATTTATTCGGTCATTCATTCATTCATTCATAATATTTAGCGCTCATCCATCTAATCACAGACAGAATACACATTCATAACAAACGGAACGAACAAACCTTATTTCCCAAAGATGGGGTCGCATACTCACGTACACTAAACCACCACTTCTAAACACCCATCAAAAACGGTCCATCCATTAAGACTAGCACTAAAGAACTCTTCATGACGAATCAAACGAGCCGAGACACAATAGGTTTGCGTCGTTTGTTTACTATCTTCCAGCTCCATCTTCAGATCAGACCCTGCTAACCATCTAAAAATTAAGTACTCGTACTCAAACGAGCTGCAACTAGACGGGGTTGAGTCGTTTCATGACAGAGTGGTCATAGGAACTTCACATAATAGATCTCACAGAAGATTGACGTGAAGTACTTCTGCGTTTTGTCTGGCGAGTGAGGTAGCCGGAGCCCACTTTATTGTAAGGAGAAAACGCATCTGTAACCCTATGCATATGTCTATGGACGGCTGAAGACGGAGCTCCATCATAAGATCCTGGTTACCTATGAGATTAATTAATTTGTTTATTTATTTATCTAAGTGAAAGACAAACTACTCGTCAATACGATTCAAATACCGAAACGCGATGAGGCTCTGTCGTTTCATTGCGAAGTTCCTTTGGCCACCTTCTAGCTCCATCGTCAGATCAGCACCATATCATAAAAATATTGCATTGTCTCGCGATTTACACTTGTATACAAAATTTCAGCTCAACCGGTAACCGGGAAGTAGATCAAATTTAATTTGCAAGATTTGACGACAAATATTAAAATATTGTAAAAATGTTCATAAAAGTAAAACTACTTGGCCAAACTATGGTAAATTTTTATGGGACAAAATGGCAACAATTTTACATCGAACTAAAGAAGAATCACGTAAATTGGATCATAAAACTCAACGTAATCGTTGTACATACATCGAAAAAAATATACCAATCGAATTGAGAAACTCCTTCTTTTGAAGTCGGTTAAAATATTATATTAATATTGAAGGTACTTACATAAAATCTATATTGGCAAAAAATATATGAAAACACGTAATTGTGAACAGCTCCGTGTATTTAAATTAAATTTAATACAGTTTTCGTTTTGATTCATTATAGATTCAGTGTAGTTGTTTAAAGTATTGTGTTTTAAACTTTATTTTATATGTAAATTATACATTTCTTGAAAACTCACCGCCTGCCAGCTATTACCAGTACATCGCAATATTTTGCCTACACTAATTTTTCACCAAAATGTCCAATTTGTCGGAGATCATATCCACTCAAAATAGACTTGAGGAGAACATAACTAAGCGATTTGATGATTTGCAAGCCCAAATTTCAAACGCCGGGTCGTCGAAAGACACTGTTGCAAGAATTGCAGAAGAACTCCGGTCCTTCAGGGAGATAGTTTCCGGTATTCTCGGTCTTCTTCGGCAACAGATCAAAGAATGCGTACGGCAGGTAGATGAAATTGACACCAGATCGCGGAGGAAAGCTCTTATCATATCCGGAATGCCAGAGAAAGACAACGAAGACTGCACTCAACGGGTTCTTGAAGTGTTTAATAACAATCTTGGTCTCAGTGACATTTCCAAGTCGTATATAAAATCGTGTCACAGACTAGGTACACCAAGTAAAGAACGTCACCGACCTGTCTTAATACGGTTTACAAGCGTGGACACTAAATTAGTGGTCTGGAAGAATAAGACTAAATTAAAGGGTTCTTCACTCTCTCTCAAGGAGTTCCTGACAAAAACCAGGCAAGCCGTTTTCAGCAGAGCGCGTCTTCACTTTGGTATGCGGTATGTTTGGTCCCAGAGTGGTGTTATAGTGGTCAGGACATCAGACGCCACAATCCATAAACTCACTTCTGAGGAGGAGCTGGTTGTCCTTACCACAAAATATCCAAAGGCGTCCGGGAAGCCGTCGAAGTAACAGTGCGTGACATGAAATCTTTAACAAAAACAATAAACGATTGTACTCATTTTTACAACTTTGCTACATTATTTATACATTGAAAAACAAAATAGTAATGTAATAATAATAGTAACGCCTTTCGTATTACTTTTTTATATTATATTACAAAATTTATTGTACTTAACTTTTGGAAACAAACAATCATCCGCCATATATATATATACGTCATTGTTGTTAATTTTTATTTTACTGTCTCTTGTTTTGTTTTTGTGTTATGTTTGCTATGTTACTTTTTGTTTTAGTCTAGATTCATATTAACTTTCAAAATTTGTTTTGTTTCGAGACGTTTTAAAGGATAAATATTTTGTTTGGTTATGACAGCTCTTTGTTTACAATTATTCTTGTTACCGATTGATTGATCGACGTTTCGCAATAGCTATGGCTGGATAGATTAAAAATGAGCGTTCCGTTTCAATATTGTTACTGATTATTGTTTAACGATCTTGTAGTTTAAAAAATAAGTTATAGTTTTTTTTTCCTTTTCCTTTTTAATCATTTAAGCACTGTAAGACTTTGTTTTTTTTTTCTTTGTTGTTAATCTTTTTTTACTGTTATTGTTTTATTTTAATAGGATTGGTTATGCTGGCGGGTGGTGCTGAGATTATACTTAGCATCACTAATATTATTGCGCTTTTAATTTTGTTTTTATTTCCATTTATATATATACATATATATATTTTAAATAATTATATTTTATATATTTTTATCCATGTCTATAATATCTGATGATGATAGTTATTTTTCTGCAAATGAAACTGCCGAATCCATAGCTGATGATAGCTTCAGCTCGGTATGCGGATCACTTGGTGATTTTTTAGGTGCAAAATTCTCAGAAAGTCCGTGTTACCTATTCAATATTTGCCATATAAACGCGCAAAGTGTTCCAAGCCACTTCGATGACTTCTACGATACATTCTCCAACTGTAATGTGCACGCCATTCTGATTTCTGAGAGTTGGCTCAAACCTCATCTCTCATCCTCCATGTATTCCCTTCCTGGCTTTATTTTAATCCGTAATGACCGAATAGGTAAGAGAGGAGGAGGAGTCGCCATATATCTGAGAAGCGATCTTCCTTATACAGTGCTGGCCTCCTCCCCTCAGAATTCAACTACTGCCGAATTCCTTTTCCTTGAGGTCACGGTTAAATGTGCCAAGATAATAATTGCCGTTATATATTGCCCCCCATGTGTTGACTATTTCACCGATTTTGAATTGGTCCTAGAATCTTTGGGTTTGGAGTACGTTCACCACGTTATTATGGGTGATTTTAACACCAATCTCCTAGATCCCAATTCCCCACGTTCCCGTAAATTCCTACACATAGTTGAGTCAAGTTGTTTAAACCTTCTAACCCTTCAAGCCACTCATCATAACGTCTCAGGTGAAGACACTTGGCTTGACTTAATCCTCACATCCAATCCTTCCCTGGTTTCAACTCATGGACAACATCCCGCTCCTGGATTTTCACATCACGATTTAATTTACCTATCCTACATTTTAAAACCTCCTAAGCCAAAACCCAAGGTTCTGTACGTGCGTTCTTTTGCTAGGATGAACGTCGACAAACTTCTAAATGATGCGGCTAAAATCAAATGGGACTCCTTGGTAAACGCAGACAGTATTGATGAGAAGGTTGACATTTTTAATGCCCTGGTCACCAAGCTGTATGACGTTCATGCTCCTCTCAAGGAAGTTAAGGTGAAGCGTCCGCCGGCACCTTGGATGACTAAGGGTATTCAGATTGCTATGGGACGTAGAGACCGTGCCTTTCGAAAATTTAAAAAACTTCGCTCCAATGAAAATTGGTCTCATTATAAATTAGTCAGAAATCGATGTAATCAGATGATACGCAATGCTAAACGCCGTTATATCCTCGATACCATTTATTCGTTAACTCCTGCCGGTATTTGGAAGTTCCTTGGGACTCTAGGCATCGGCAAGTCGCGTGTATCAAACCTCCCCGTCTCTATTTCTCTGGATGATTTAAATTACCATTTCTCTACCACTACTTCAATGGATCACTTGGCGATATCTGATACTATTTCTTATTTAAATGGTTTGACGCGTCTCAATATTGATATGTTCTATTTTTCTCCTGTCTCTTCTGAAGAAATCAAAAAAACAATCCTCTCTATCAAATCTAACGCAGTTGGATGTGATAACATTGGTCGACGTATGATTATTCCCATTCTTGACCATCTAGTCCCTGCTATATGCCATATGGTTAACTTTTCACTAAACTCCAAGTCATTTCCAGCTATATGGCGTAAAGCTTGGGTAAGACCTCTCCAAAAGTGTTCTAACCCTACTCTCCCTACCCACTATCGTCCTATTTCTATTCTGCCCTTCCTCTCCAAAGTAATTGAGTCCTGTGTCCATAAACAACTATCCTGTTTTGTTTTTAGAAACAACTTGTTAAGTCCTTTCCAATCCGGATTTAGACCTGGTCATAGTACCACCACCGCTCTCCTTAAAGTGACTGGCGATATTAGGGCGGGCATGGAGGGATCAAAGGTTACCGTCATGGTTCTTATTGATTTTTCTAACGCCTTCAATACCGTCAGTCACGATATCCTGTTAGCCATCCTCTCCATTATAATGGTTTCTGACGAAGCACTGGAATGGTTTTCCTCCTATCTTCGAGGGCGCCAGCAGGCAGTCAATAATGGTGATTCCTCATCACGTTGGCTTAGTCTGATTAATGGTGTTCCTCAAGGCGGTATTCTATCCCCTCTGTTATTCTCCGTTTTTATAAACTTTATCACTCATAATCTTCGCTGTGCGTATCATCTTTATGCCGATGACCTGCAGCTGTATGCTCAGGCATCAATCGATACTCTTAATGAGGCTATTCTTAAGCTCAATGAAGATTTAGTCGCCATTAAGACCTGGTCAGATAAGTTTGGACTGACTGTAAATCCGACCAAATGTCAAGCCATAATAGTTGGGAGTTCCCGTACTGTTAGTAGAGTAAATTTAGTTAGCCTTCCACCGATTATTTTTGACAGCTCCCCCATCCCACTACAAAATAAGGTTAATAATTTAGGTTTGCTCATTGACGGGACGTTTTGTTGGAGAGATCAAATAGCTAGTGTCAGCCAAAAAGTCACTAATGTCTTGCGCTGTCTTTACCGTCTCAAGAATTTCCTGCCGTTGAAAACCAAAGTAACGCTCGTACAGTCCTTAATTTTTCCTTTAATCGACTATGGTGACGTGTGCTACTTCGACCTGAATGCAGATCATCTCAATAAACTCGACCGACTTCTGAATAACTGCATTCGATTTGTTTTCAATCTCCGCAAATATGACCATGTATCGTCTTATCGTTCACAGCTAAACTGGCTAACCATACGACAACGACGCTCTTTAAGAGCCTTGACCACACTTTTTTCTTACCTTGATTCCCCATTTACTCCTTCTTATTTAGCTCCCCACTTCCAATACCTTAGTTCAGTCAACACCAAAAATCTTCGCTCTAAACACAATCGCCTTCTGTTCTGTCCTCCTCATCAGTCTGATTTTATCCATTCCTCTTTCTTTGTTCAATCTATCCTTCTTTGGAATGAGCTTCCTCCCAAAATCAGAATGGCTAAGAATCGCCTTGCTTTTAAGAGAATGGCACGGAAATACATTTTGGGAAAGCTGCCAGCAGTTTCATGATATCATCAGATAAAAATATGTATGCGTATTTGTGTATATATTTATGTATATGTATATATTTATAGTACAGTATATATATATATTTATGTATGTAAACTTTTATTTAATTGTATTGTATTATGTATATATTTATGTGTAATTAGTAAAATATTTATATTTTAAATGTTTGTGCACCTACCTCAAAATCTCGGTACCACCCTAAGGTTGACTGGTAGAAAATGCTGACAGCATTAAGTCCGCCTATGTACATAGTTATGTGCATGAAGTCTTAAAATAAATAAATAAATAAAATGTTATTTTTAACAATTTTAATTAGTGGTCCACCTAGGTCCTGGACCCAGCCCAGGGGGGGGGGGGTCATGACCCCCATGACCCCCCCCTGGATCCGCCCTTGTCTGTGGTAGGGCCACGTAATATTCTCCGAAAACTGTCGTAGAGCCACGCATTAATCTTCGCTAACTAAAGTGGGGCTATGCAATAGTCTTCGCTAGCTAAAGTGGGGCTATGCAATAGTTTTTTACCGTTGCGCTCCCACTATCCGCTATCACCCATCTTTTCTTCTCAATGCTTAGTTCCATTTCTTTTATTAACCTCGTTTGTTTTTTAACATTTCATGTATTGTGTTTTTTTAATAATTCCTTAAGCGTGGCCATATCCGCTATCACATGTTATTCTGTTGCCTTTTTTTATCTGGCAGTGCCAAGCAACAACAGTTTTCACTGTTGCACGAATGGGCAGATCCGTCCGGGTAAGTTCCACGACCTCACAGAAGGGTTATCACTTAATATCCGGTGAACCGCCTGCTTTCTTGCAACAGCCTTCTCACTTAAAAAAATGTATAATTTAAAATGTTAAATAGTTATTATAACCGGGAATTTAATTTTAAATTTCGACGTTTCGAACACGTTATCGCTTCTCTTGCTCAGATGGACGACACACCGATGCGGACCGTAAAATACATTGATTTGTTTTATTGTTAATGCACTTAAATTTTACTAAAGTAAAAAGGAATGTACCTTTGCGACGATTTTGGTAAAGGTATTTTCGAATCAATTTCATCCATAGTTGAATATGTAAATTGCGAGTTTAAGGTATTTTATATAAATATACATTGAGGTTCCCATCCCTTATCACTTTTATTCTATTTCTCGACTTATGTATGCGGAGAATTACGATGGCACCGGCGCTGCGTACGGAATGTTATCTCGCTGAATGGGACGGTGCCGCGTCCGGTTCTCGAATGTTCCATTTCCACACGCCACCATCGGCGGAACAATGGAACGAATGGAACAGT